CGAAAGCCACTTGTTAACCTATGATTTATGCAATACAGTGTACTCACAGAATCATACTCCTCCTGGTTAGATCACATTCTCAGATTTTTAAGAGCCTTTTAACAATATTTCTCTTTTATTGATGAATAGGCCAAAAATTTGTTTTCTCTGAAAGACAACAAAAGCTCCCCCTGCCCCTTCTTTTTTACCTGAAGCAACCAGTACTCACATCTCAACGGAAACAAATTCAAGCACAGAGACCGTTTGTAGCTCCAGACAGCTGCAGTGTAACACGCAATTGCATTTTAAACCTTAAAACCAGAGGGAACCATTCTACCAGCCCCGCCGGACCTTCCCGGTTATTCCAACGCTCCTCCCAGTGCACACGAAACACCTCGGGGGTTCATTCAGGGAAGGCACCACATAACAGCCCACGGTACAAACAGCGGGCTACAGGGGAACAGACTGAAGCACGGTCTAGGGGAGCTGGACACAGCACGTCCCAGTTTCATCCTCCCTCAGAGCTCAGCCCACAAAAGGCAGCAGTTCAAGCCCTCTCCTCACGGCCCAGCCCCGGCTTCCCAGCAGGGTTACTGGGGCAGGCAAGTCTCCCACCCACCCAGACCCCCCTGTATTTCGGAATACGTATTCAGGGAGGAGAACCCCTCTGCACAGCTATATAATAATGCATCACTTCAAGCAAATTAAAGATAAAAAAGCCTTTCACCTACCAGAACACATTCCACCTTCCTGGTAAACGATCAGCCACACCTGGGGGCCCCAGCCCGCTCCCCTCGGGCACACCGCACCCAGCGGGGCCGGCACGGCACAGCCACCAGCGGGACGGGCTGCCGCTGCCGACACCGAAGCTTTCCTGGCACCTACCCTAACGCAAGGCTTGACCGTCCGATACCTCTCAGCTACACGGTAAGGCGCTCATGTGTCCCAGCCACGCACCCCTTTCCTTTTCCGCAAGGAAAAGAGTTAACAGATGCTACTTAAAACCAGGTTAAAAGCATATACAGACTGTTACTGTGATCAGTCAATGTCAGGTTGC